ACGGAGAGATTGAAAGAGGTAGCTGTTGGGCCAATCCTATCGATTTCCAGCGGTTTTCAATATTTTTGTCATTTTTGGCAAAATTTACTAAAGGCCTTCCTGTATTTAGCGAAAATGGATGGCTCCAGATGTTGACGGAAAAGTAGTCGAATCGACAGAGGTGACTCTGGGGACCACAAACAACATCTCGTTCCGTCAGAAACCACCCCTGTCCAGAGAACCTCGAGTTTGAAGGGTGGTGTTTTGAATCTTGCGGGCAGCGTACGATGGGCTGCCTACCTTGCAGGCGAACCGGTCCAAGAAAAACAGGCGTGACTCAGTTAAAATGGCCTGGCAACGCGAAATTTTAAAGGAGAAATTGAAAAAGGATACTGTTTGGCCAATTGGGATTAATCCCAACCATTTCCATCGATTTTCTTTTTTTTTTTTTTACTTTCTGGCAAAATTTACACTTTGTGTTTTTAGCTAAAATTGATGGGTCCCGGATTTTGACGGAGTAGGATCCGAATCGACAGGGGTGAACGGGGGACCATAAAACTACCTTTGAGTGCGTCAGAAACCACCCCTGTACACAGAAACTTGAGTCTGAAAGTTCATGCGGATTGCCTACCCTAAGGCGCAATTTCTAAAAAACTCTGCTGTAAAGGGTAGGCACCATCTTAGAACAGAGCAAGTGTGCCGCCCAAGCCAAAGCAATTCCAGCTATTTTCTAAATTGTCAAGAATTTTGAAACACATTTTTGATGATAGGAAATATCAAGCCTGGATTTTGACAGGGAAGGATTGAAATTGCCATGGAAGAACCAAGCCACCACAAAAACTATTATAAAGTGGCCTTTGATGCGCACCAAAGGAAGCTTTTCATAAAGTCTGTACAGAGACAAATTGGACCAGCGTTGGTTACTTGTCAGGCCAACTCACCTATTCTTGCAGGTATATAAATAAATGCCTCCATATACTTCTTTGCTCATGTCAAGAAAATTTCCGGGCCTTGTCCCCCTGCAATCATAATAAATGGTACTCTCATCGCTATTCTTTAATGGAAATGCTTGCTTTCATTCTATTCTCAACAATCATCAAATTTAAATTAAATGTATTTTACTCATACAACACACTTTTAAATGCCTCTCGCCCCATACTCTAAATGACCATGGTCCTTCAAATAACATATTTGGCACTGGACTCAAACACTGAGTGAACGTAACATATCCCTCTGCACATCTCCAAGATACCTTTTAAACAATAAGTAGAAGACAGCAGCAAATAAGCTGCAATACACATTGATTGTTTGATTGTTTATTTAAGGGATTACACTAATAGCTAGAACTAAAACCCTAACTTGACTGTGAAAGCCCGCACCCCAACCACAGTTCACCCATTATTTTCAAAAGACCTACGGCAGTATTTCGTACACTGCACGTACCTTTTCGACAAAGCTTACAGTGAGCAAAGTTTACAGAACGCGCATCATTTATTCTGCCTCGAAAAATAACCAAAATAACTTACCACTGCAAGACAGAAGGGGAAGGGGGACGCAGAGGAGGGTTCGGGGCGGAGTTGTTTCGTTTGTTGTTGTTGTTGTTGTTGTGTTGGTGTTTTTGTTTTACCCTCCCTTCTTGCCTCCGGGCCCTCCATCGGACGAGACGGCAGCAGTTTTGTCCTTTTTGTTATTTTTGCATCGTTTGAAATGCCACGGGAATCCAGAGATCGAGTCTCAGGCTCAAAAGGAAATTCAGGTAGGATCCTATTGTTCTACGTTTCGAACCGTCCAACATTTCCGACATATTCTATCCAAACTTGATCGTAATTAACCTCTCTGCTGCATGCTGAACAAACCCTAGTAGCGCTCGTGCACATGATTCGCGAATGGAGAGTAGAGAATTTATCTGACGATTTTGGTTAAATTATTTTTTTTATTGACCAGTATTAATCCAAAATCACCCACAATTTTTTTTCTGATAAAATTTGTGTGGAACCCCAATGACCTCACTTCGATCCATTCCACCACATCCCCTCAGAGAGATTCTTGAAGAAGTGTTGATCAAGTTTAGTTTAGGCATCTACCACATGTTAGAAAATTCCTTTCTGGTTCTTATACAGTTTACTTTCATGCAAACATCAAATTGTATTTGCTGACTTCTAGTTTTAACTTCAGATACAGTCCCCAAAATTTTGTTTTCTGTTTTCAGGTGATTCTAATTTTTGTACACGTTTAATGAGGTAGCAGTAAATTTTGAAGCCTCTGAGATCCCCAAGTCTTTCACTTTATTTTCTTAAAATCCCACAAATGTTTTTATTGTAATGTGTTTAGGTTCAGGTTTTTCTGTTATGTCTTTGATTTTTTCTGCTCCTTGACAGGCGGAAATATTCCAGTTGTGCCAATTGAATGCCCTTTCTCTCGATAGTCTTGTAACAAATGATAAAAATGTAAAGCGAACAACATGGAAACAGAGTTGAAAATGCAATAATAATTATGGTATTCATCCTGTGAACATTTGACGTTGAGATGACATTGTTTGTCCTTTGCAGTGCTTTTGAAGCATAGCGTAGCTTGGCACGTCAATGTTATGCAGCTACCTGAAACTGTAAGGAGTTCAGAGTCAGTTGGTGTCACTGTGATGCATGTGGACTAAAATTCTGTTTTTACTCTGTTGCAGGAAGACTGTCCAATAGTTGCTGCTGTGCTTGACATCAGCTAAGCAGCATACGTGTCTCCCAATGTATGTTGACTTGGCATCGCAGTACACAGAACAAGAAATGGCCCTTTTTTCTCATGATCCAAGGAATGAATCTGGTAAGTTTTGACTTTTCATGTAATGTTAACAAAAAAAATCAATACTTATTGGTAGAGTCATATTCGGTGAAAGTTTATTTTTGGTATTTGTTTCTATTGGAGGGCTACTTGTCGTATCTCTACTGTCTCTATGCTATCTCCTTATACTGTATACAGCTTATTACTTGATCCTAAAAATGTAGTTGCGTGTTGATTTTAGTGGAGGGAAGTGAGAGAGGCAAATCATCAGAGTGTCAGTTACAGTAATGCTGCTATTTATTTCATTTGTATGGTACAGTCGTAGTAAAATAGGAAGTGATGCTGCTTCTTGTCCAAAGGGATGTGCCTGGACTTGATGCTTGCCACCTGTAACATAGAAAGTTCATTCGATGAGCTGGCATCACAGTGATACATATGGACCAGAAAACGTTTGAGTTGAACTCTGAGATAATTAGAATTTAACTTATAGATTTTTTTCATTCTTTTTCAGGTATTCAGATTTCACCTCAAGTCCCCAGCAACCAGCAGAAAGAAGCCGGCTACTAGAGGAAGACTTACTCTTATAATGTAAATGATTTGAAACAATAAAGAATTTAAAAAATGACTACATCTGACATTTTACTTGATTTCATACACAGTTAGCTAGAAGCTGTGGTAACTGTGGAGGTAGTAGCAGACTGCCACCGCCACAGCAGTGACGTCACGGGCGTCTCGGATGCACAGCTGTCACGGAGCCGTAGAGGCAGCAGTAGATTTACTACT